ATTAATGAAAGAAGAAAAGAAAAAGAAAAAGAGAAAAGAAGAAAACAAAAAAATTGAATTAAAAATTGAATTCTAGGGGTTTTCCAGGTCTATTTATACTTGAGAATTTTTTGCAACCACAAAGAATTTGCAACCAAATTTGCATACTTTTTTACATACTGTACTATTATAATTGCACAACCACAAAAAAGTTCATACACAAAATAAAACTCAGGCGTATTTGAAAAAAGGGGTTTGCAAATCTCTATCAAACCTAGCAGCCACAAAAGGAAAGGAGTTACAACTCTTTTTATAAACTAGATAAACCACAAAATGCTCGTATTTCAAAAATCCTTAATGCTGACTTTTGAATTTATGGTGGGGTTATTTAGGAAACGAAATATGATGTATGAAATAAGCAGTAAAATCCATCTAAGAAATTCATTCTCTGTTGGAACGATGTTTTAAATGGATATATCAATAGTGTGGAGCATAATTAGAGAAATATGTTCGCTGAGGAAGAAGGCAGCAAACGTACGAACTAGGGACACTAGATATGCGTTGTAGAATTCTACCAGTAAAAAGTTGAAGACTCAATAGCTATTGATACAAACACTATTACAATTGAGAATGTCATATTAAGCCTAGTTGTAACTGAAATCTTAACAATCAAGATACTTCGTTCATGTTTGATCAATTTCCCAAGTTTCCTGCGTGAAATTCTAACTCATTTTAAACTTTAAAGTTCTAGGAACAATTTGTCAAATTATTCATTTAAATTCTTATGCAAAATGGACATGTAACCCGGTGTTGTTATTATTCTTCAATAACTACAACAATAATTTCCAAACTTTGATAAAATTTTCTTTTAAAGCTTAAGGAAAAAGACGTTTACTGGCTGACAGACCAAAATCTTTAAAAGAAATTTCTCGTCTAGGGGAAAAAATAAAATATTTTTTTTTAATTGTTTTGTTTGTTTCAGAAATCGCGAAATTTCCATTTAAATCAAACTCCTTTGAGTTACAAACGTAGTATATCTTACAACCCCATGCAACATCTAACAATTTTACAAGTCATTTTTCAATTTAATATCAATTCAGAATTTCCAAGTTCTAAATAATATCAAGTTGTATATAATATCAAGTATTTCCCTTTTTTAATTTAATATATTTTCATTTCAAAATCCCACTTCAACTCATAATTAACACAAGATGATTGATTTTAATTCATTATGTGAATTCGAGGATGCCTTATCCCAAGAACCTGCCACCAACATCACAATCATACTAGAAACTTTAGAAAGTCGAATAGAATATAAGAGAGCCGAGGACGGCTATGGATCTCAAAAGGAGTCCTGTGATCAAAGCTCACCAGAGGTCATATTACACAGAGCGTTTGCAGAGTATGAAATTGAAAAGGATGAATTCGCTACTTGTAGTGGTTGTGGTGGGTCATTAGCAATTAAAGAAAACTACAAAAGATGCTGTGAACTTATGTCAGAGCAAAGCCTTTCGATTGGATCGAGGCTAGAGGAGTCATTTTGGGTTTCCCTCTTGCAAAATCCCACAAGTACAATCAACACATTTCCTCATTACACTGAATTTCTCTGTTTGAAGAAAGGTATACCGAACCCAATTAGGTCCCTAATATGGAATAAACTATTCCTCTTGAATTCACCAGAACCTCCTCAAAGCTCCAAATTAATATTCAAAAACTTTCAACATTCGTATAGTTTAGAAGTGTCTGAACAAATCGCCAAGGATTTAAATAGAACTTTCCCCAATGTCAAATTTTTCAACCAGAAGAAGACCATTAACGATTTATCGACTATATTGAATGTATATGCTAATTATGACTTTGAATTGGGTTATTGTCAAGGACTTATATTTTTAGTTGGTGTTCTATATTACCACCTTAGACAGGACAACGAACTAGTGTTCTATGCTTTGGTCAATGTTATGGAGACAGAGCCTGAAGTACATGATATATTTGCTGCTTCAACAATGGCTGGAACTCTTAACAATTGGTATCATGAGTTTCTATTTATTTTGCAGCAAGCTGATATTCAACTACATGACCATTTAACTTCATTTGTCGATCCCCAAGTATTTCTTTACCAATGGTGGTTATCATTCATGTCTTCACATTCACCAGATCTATCTATTGTTAATCGAATTATTGATTTTTGCATGTTCCAGGGATGGAAACGTGGGTTATTAAAAGTCACATTGGGGTTACTTATTTGCAACAAACCACTTTTAATGGCTATGGGTAAAGGTGACGAAGAAGTTGTTTATCAACATTTGTTGAACGAGTCAAAGTGGGGTAATGCAATCAACAACTTAGAGTACTTCTTTAGTGATTTGTTATTTTCTTGGGACAGTGAACTTTTCCTAACTAAATACAAACCAACAACCATCGGGAAAGCACCAAGCCCCAACGTTGTTTTGAGTCCCTTAAAGACATTCGTAACCAACTTGCGATCATTGAAGAATAGTGCTGGACATTTGAAATTTGGGCATGAAGCAAAAAGTTCACAAATATCATCAAGTAGTTTGCACAATTTATCTGATTCTGATTTTACTGATGATCTTGAGAATAGTCCCGATACAAATTCTAGTATCATGTTCTCGAAACATTCTAACAATTCCACTTTATTTGGATCTATAGATCACATGGAAGAAGAAAACCTAAGGGCAGAGAATGAATCCTTGAAAGATTTATTGAAGAAAGCCTACAGCTTGATTGAACCCAACAGTCTTGAAGCTATTTCCCTTAGAAACGATATACTGAAGGTTTGCTAAGTTCTTGACAGTTATATAGAAAAAAAAAACAATTCTTTAATAGAAGGTATTAGTAACTAAATATATATTATTATATTATATTCCCTTTACAGGTTTGTAGCTGATGTCTAGTTGAGGTTCCCAACTGAGCGAACACCTTTAACATTATATCCGGGTAACCATTAACAAATTTTCTGGTGGCCAACAACAAAAACAACATTCAGAAAATTTTTTTAATTATAAACTTCACTGGCAAAAAAAAAAGAGAGAGAGAGAGTCAATATTTCCTACTTATACTTTAATTACCTTATTAAACTACACATAGAAGTATATTAGACTACTGATTAGATCTTATATACAACATTGCATAGGACATAGATCAAAGTTTAATTTCAAGGTAAAAATAGAAAGAAATTAAAATCATTGTCAACGTTTTAAGTCCTATCCCGTTTTGATTTATCCAAATTTTTGATAGAACATTTCATACACTTTGATATCTTAAATCAGTGAATTGGTTCCCCCTTTTTCATTTCATAAATCGTGTCATCTTTAGCTACAAAGAGCCCCAAGGGCAATTCCCAACATCCATCAAACAGTTTGCCATCTTATAGAATCAAAGACCCAGAATTAACCAAAGTAGTTATTAATCAGTTATCAATCTTATTAACTACAGTATCCAACGAAAACATCGAATCTCAATTCAAACAAATTAGATTTATACTAGATAAACAGGTTTCAAATCCAATTGTAATTGATAATTATTTTGACAAATTAATCAGTTTAATAAGATTTTCTTCACTTGTTTCCACTACTAATCAAGATCTTTCACCAATCGAAAAGGTATTTGCAAAAGAGTTATCCCATATTGCCAAAGATTTGAATTATTTGGAGTTATTGTTCTTACATTTATCCAAGCTATTCGAACAGATTAAAGATATTAATATAATAGACTTTATAACCAAGTTTAACTGTGACTTAATATTATCATTTATTATTTTAATTAAGTTCAAGCCAGCAGATCCAAAAGCAGTTGCAGAATACATCAAAGAGAACTCATTAAATTTACTCGCTTTTATTAAATCAAGAGAATTCCCACCAAATTACGATTGGAGTTTAGTCTTGGATTATATCTTAAACACACCATTTTTTCCATTTTTACATAAATTATTAACACTTAGTTCACTTAAGGCATTTAAGTCACATATTGAACCCATTAATAAGTTTTATCAAAATATTATAAATATGTCATTTAAAGATTTATTATTAGAAATCGGTCCAGAAAGTTTGTTACCAGAGAAATTATTGGCAAGCTTGTTGCAAATAAAACCAAATGAAATTGATCAAGGCATTGCATTAATTTTATCAGAGATTTTGGTTCCTGGTTCTCAGGGATTACCACCCGGATTATCGAGTGCAAATAGCTTACCAGAAGCCAATGCAAAAGGAGCCCAATTGCAAGCCAGTTTTAAACAAATTGAAGCATCTGACAAGTTCACAATTAATTGGTATGAAGTTTTTAATTTTGTACATCAAAATCTTTTTGAAGCTTCTCAAAGAAGTATTCAGCCTTCCATTGCAGGTATCACTCAATTTTTATCCTCTTTAGATTTCAAACAGGAACCAATAGATATTTTCTTGAATTATGAATGGTGGTTTAGCAAAACATTATTGTATATTTTACATTCACTGGACGCTTCCCAAGGTGGTTATGATATTTCATTACTGAAAAATTTGGCTTATTGTTTTGAAGAAGATAAAAGCATGGTTGCTTCACCGCATATGCAAGTGCCAAGCAGAAGAAATATATTGAAGTTTATTAACGTCGCAAAATTGGAGGTACATGTAATTTCAAAGATCCAGCAAGAACAGCAACAACAGCAACAATTAAATGAACAAGAAAGAAAATTGAATACTTTTTTGAATCAACTTTTTGAACATGACTATCGCGTTTTTCCTGAATATATCTTAGCTGCTGCCTTAACTGTAGTTGAACAATCTCATTTTACTAATGATCTCATTGACACATTGCTTGCATTGTTGATAGATGGAGATAGTCCTTCAATTAGTAAAGTTGTTAAATTACTTAATGAACAAGGAATTTTGGTTCTGAAATTGAGCGATTACTTCAAAACCCGCAAAACAGTAGACGCAGCTGATAAAACCATGAGATTATCATCTAGATCAGGGATAATGCAGGAGATTTTGGATGAATTTTGGAAAGTCGACACAGGTTTAGCTGTAAAGCTTTTGATTGAGTCAAGTTTATATGGATATGACATTAGACCAGTTCTTGATAGCAAACTTGGAGATGCCAACAAAGAGCAAGTTTATCAAGCTGTATTGCAAGCATTGGATGAAAAGGCTCAAAAGGATTATGAACGAGGTCAAACACAACAAGCGCAAACAGGAATTGGTGCTCCACCGAATATATTGAAGATTCCAACTGTTTCTTATTTGCTCGAGAAATTGAAAACCAGCAATGGATTGATTGATTCAGAAAAATTGAAGAATATTCAATTATTGTTGTTAACGACATATCCAAGGTTGATTAATTTTGGCGCCGGCCACGACGCGGCCATTCTTGCAAATGAAGAGAAGTCCAGTTTTTTCCCTCCGGATGTTGAGCTTGAAATGAAGTCTTATTATTCCAAGATGTATAACAAAGAAGTTGAAATTAAAGAAATTGTGGATATGTTGGTAAAAATGAAGGTAAGCGATGATCCCCATCAACAGGATGTCTTTGCATGTATGATCCATTCATTGCTCGATGAATATAAGTTCTTTTCTGAGTATCCTTTATCAGCTTTGGCTTCGACTTCCTTATTGTTTGGAGCTCTTTTAGAAAAGGATTTAATTCAAGGAACAACCTTAACGGTGGCATTAAATTTCATCTGGGAATCATGTAACCAACCACAAGACTCACATCTTTTTAAATTTGCCGTCCAGTCATTGTACAATTTCAAATCCAGATTACATGAATATCCGATTTATTGTAAACATTTATTAGAATGCCGTTCTTTGTCAGCTCATGCGAAAATGTATCAAATAGTGAAAGATGCAGCTAATGGAATCTCCTGCGCTAGTGGTGCTACTCATACTTCTACTCCAGATGTTGGTCCTAGATATCAATCTATTGCAGCTGTTGAAGGAGTTCTTGGATTTGTAAGACAGGAAGAGCCTAATGAAAGTACGAAAGATAAGCTATTATTTAGTGTTAACAATATGACCACTGATAATTTAAGATTGCAGGAAATTAAAGAGATATTGTCAGAGAACTACTTTGCCTGGTTTTCAAATTATTTAGTCGCGGATAGAGCGAAGGCGGAACCAAACAATCATGAACTATACTCCAGATTAGTTGCAGAATTTAATGATGCCATATTTTTTGAATATATTTTGAATACATCATTGAAAGAGGTTGAATACATTATTAGAAATTTTAAAGATTCTAGGAACGAACGTAATCAGTTGAAGAATTTAGGTGCATGGTTAGGAAGAATTACTCTTGCAAATGACAAACCGTTAAGAAGAGATCAAATCGCATTGAAATTTTTATTGGTTGAAGCTTATGATTTTAAGTCGTTGTCATTAATCATTCCTTTTGTTTGTAAAATATTGGATCAAGCTCAGTATTCCAAAGTTTTCCGTCCTCCAAACCCTTGGATTTTAGGTGTTATGAAAGTTCTTGCCGAGCTTTATGAATGTGCTGATTTGAAGTTGCAATTGAAATTTGAAATTGAAGTGTTGTTGAATTCATTCAGTATGAAGATTAAGGATATAGAACCAAGTACATTGATTAGGACTCATAACCCAAATCCTGTTGCTTTGGCTGCCACATTTGGTATTCATCCCGAAACAGTTACTGTCGCAAACGAAATGTCAAGATTGAGTTTAGAAAATCCACAAGCAATAGATAATGTCCAAGCTTTCCCTAGAACGGTCCCTACAGCACAAATCGAGAGTAAGTTCCCTGTCCCTCCTCAACAAGCCACTATTGGATTAATTCTGGAACAACAACCACAACGACAACCTGGAGAAGAACCAGTCTTGGACACCAGCTTTAGCACCTTGGTGGGAACCTCCATATTTACACAGCATGCTAATTTAAGAAGAGCATTCCAGGCATCATTATCTAGAGCAGTTAGGGAATGTGCGGTACCAATCTTGAGTCGAGTATCCGAAGCCGTCTTGACTACAACAGAATCACTTATCAGGAAGGATTTTTCAACAGAAAAAGATATTGTAAAGTTTAGAAATAGTTATCAGAAATTGGCACAGCAGTTATCTCATAGTATGGTACTTTGTAGTGGGAGAAAGTTGTTAGCAGAAACTATAGAGGCAACCATGTTACAATTATTGGGTAGCAATTCAAATGAAGTCCCTATTGTGGAATTAAACAATGCCATCCAGGCTAATGTTGGATTATGTGTCGATATTGTGGACAAAATTGCTTCAGACAACATTACAGAATTGATTGATGAGAGAATGAAGAAATATATTTATAATCGTGAACAACATAATCCTGCAGAACCATTTGTGGAAGAAGGAGCATCTGAATTTGCTTTAAGATTACCGGAACCATTAGGATTAAGTGTGAATGGTCTTACAGCTCAACAAATTCGCATATATGAGAAATTCGGCGAGCAGACGCAAAGCAATATACCAGTGATGCAAAATCATGAGCTTAATATTCAACAACCCCCTCCAGCACCAATTGTTCAACAAGAAGAAGTAATACCATTTGATCAATTGTTGGTTGCATTTACACAAAATTGTGAACGTGCCATTCAATTACTTTCAGAAGTTTCAGAAACTAGATTATCCGATTTACCCCCAACTCATCCAATAATGACAGCTTTGACACAAGCATTGACTATAGCTCAAACAAACACATTGAAATATCCAGAATTATTATTGAAAGCTGCCCAATATGCTGTTAATTGTTTGTTCACTCAAGTACATGAAAATCCAATGAGCAATGAAATCTATGTTGTTTTATTAGACAAGTTATGCGAATATTCACCATCTACTGCAAAAGATGTTACATGGTGGTTAGTACATTCTTCAGATCAACGTAAGTTCAATACCCCAGTTATTTTCTCGTTATTGAAGGTTCAATTGGTCCAAGCTATAAAGTTAGATACATCTATTGGTAATTTGATTAAGGAATCCAACAATCCAGTGGTTGTTAAGTTTGCATCCACATTACTTTATAATGTTTTTACAGCTAATGAGATTCGTCCAATTGCATTAAGATCCGAGTTTGGTTGTACCTTAGAAGCATTATCGAAATATGAAGATGAATCTGATGAAGAACATAGACAGGCTAAACAAGCACGTGATAAATTATTTGACTTATTGGAATCTCAGAACCCTCCTTCTTCAGAGCAATTGTACTTGCAATTAGGATATGTTTTTAGTGAATGGATTAAGTTATTATCCCATGGCGATGAAAGTTCTGGTGATTTACAAGAGGAATTTATTAGAGCTTTAGTTGATTCCGAGATTTTAACTAACCAAGAGTACTTCCAAGTGTTTTTCAAGGCTGCCATTCAAATTTCCGTAGCTTCTTTTGGAACCGAGCATGAGCTTCGAAGCAAAACACAACATGAGACATATCTTGGTGTTGATGCTTTAGGAAAGTTAATTGTTAAGATTGTTTTGTACATCGATAATGTGGACCAATCAATGGAATACTTTGGAAAGATTATGTCAATTTGTTTGTTGAATTTGATTAATGATCATGAAACTGCTGGACCAAATTGGAGTGAACGAGCCTATTTCAGATTTTTTTCATCCCTTTTAGCTGCATGGAATGATGCTTCTTGTGTAGATGAAAAAGCAACTGTCAAATATGATGCTGAATTTTACAATTATTTGGGTGATGTTTTCAATTCATTGCAACCTGTTGTCTTACCAGGTTTAACATTTGCTTGGGTTTCTTTGATTGCTCATAGAATGTTTTTACCAAGGTTACTTGAATTAGAAGATAAAGTTGGGTATTCTACAGTGGTAAAATTATTGACATCTGCTTTGAAATTTCAACAAATTTATTCCAAGGATACAAGTCATGATGTTATTAATGTTGTATTTAAAGCTATTAATAGAATATTTATTGGAATCTTGCATGATTATCCTGAATTTTTCGTGGAGTGTCATTATCAATTGGTTACGGCTATACCTAGAGGTTATATTCAGTTAAGAAACATAGTATTATCTGCGTCACCAGCAAATATCATTGCTCCTGATCCATTTACACAAGGTTTAAAGGTGGAAAGGTTACCAGAGATTAATGAATCACCAATAATCCATTTCCAACCAATGGAAGATTTGACGAAGGTTGGATTAAAGAAGCCGGTAGAGAATTTCTTAAGAATCCCAGCTGCAGCATTATTAAGAACAATTTATTCAGGATTTAAATTGAGTCAACCAAAGGAAGTTAATGATTTTGGATATCCCGAGACAATTCATTATAATGTAAAACTTATAAATGCATTGGTGTTACATGTTGGTATTTCAGCTGTTACAGAAAGGTCTCCTAATAATCGTGGATTCAATACCAAGACATCTCAAGTGGCATTATTGGTTGATTTAATGAATTATGGATCACTGGAATTTAAATTTCATTTGATTAATGCAATTGCTAATCAATTAAGATATCCAAATAGTCATACTCATTGGTTTATTGGAATAATTTTACATTTCTTTAGTTCTAATTCTATTTGGGGTAATTCAGCTGCTAAATTGGCCGTACAAGAAATGATTACTCGTGTATTATTAGAAAGAAGAATAGTTAGTAAGCCACATCCTTGGGGATTAACAATTGTATTTACTGAATTGGTAAAGAATGGAGATTTTGGATTCTTTGAATTGCCATTTGTTAAAAGTTCTGCAGAAGAGATTAAGAATATATTTGATGCTTTAGCTGTTAATGTAAAGGGAACTACTTTGTTGAATGATAATTAGAGAATTGGGTGGTATTTGTATATTAATTGTATATTAGATTATTAATTTAATGATTTGTTAATTTATTGTTTTAGTAATAATTAAGATCTCTCTTTATTAAGATTTTCTCAGTTGATAGTTTAATTAAACCTTAATTGGGTTAAGCTTTAAAAAGGGCCAACACACATTTTTTTTCTTCTCTCCCTTGCAAAGAAACATAACCATTTTTAAAAAAACCTTACAAATCAATTGGTAGTTAACAACGCATTTCCTTTGTTTCATACCAAATAATCCACGTTCAAAAGGCGCCGACATTTAATCAATCTAAAATCAGTGACCCTTCACCACACACCCCCCTCGCCAGAATTAATTACAATTGTGTTAACTGAGATAAAGAATTAAAAAATACATAGCAATTTAAACTTTACCAATTGAAAAATGTCCCGTGTCAAAAGAATTGCCAAAGAATTGGAAGAATGCCGTCAAGATACTCAATCAGGAGTGACTTTAAAGTTGAATAATGAGAATGATTTAACTCATTTAACTGGGTATTTTAGGGGTCCTCCTGGAACTCCTTATGAAGGTGGGATGTTTCAAGTAAATATTGATATTCCAAATGAATATCCTTTTAAACCACCACAAATGAAATTCTCAACAAAAATCTATCATCCTAATATTTCATCTGTTACTGGAGCTATTTGTCTAGATATATTGAAGGATGCTTGGACCCCAATTTTAACATTAAAATCTTCATTAATTTCATTGCAATCATTGTTACAATCACCGGAACCTAATGATCCTCAAGATGCCGAAGTTGCTAAACATTATTTGACCAACAAGGCTGGATTTGAAGAAACTGCTGCTTATTGGACCAAAATTTATGCAAGTGATGGAGACAGTGGAAATGTTGCTTTAAGTGATTCAGCAATGTATGGAATTGACGATTCAATTGTGACACAATTTGAGAACATGGGATTCCACAGAGCTAAGACCATTGAAGTCTTAAGAAGGATGGGTGTTAAGAGTTTCAATGGAGTCTCTAATAAAGGTGATTTAGAGAATAAAATCTTGGAAGAGTTATTAAGAGAATGTCAATGAGAGAAGAAATTAATAGCCGATATATATACACCAGACCAATTGACTTGTCTATTTCACTAGTCAAATGATATCTACTACCGTATATACTATACTATATAAATTGTAAAAGTACAACCTACGAATACTTCAATTGTAAATCTCTCCCATAGTAAGTCATATTATTAATTTTCAAATACTGCATATAACTTGGGGCGTTAATTTATTTTTCACCGCTTTTTTTTTTTTTTTTTTCCTCTTTCAACATCAACAAAAAAAAAAAGGACTCACAAAAGTTTGAACTTTGGAAGAAAGAAAGAAAGAAAGAGAATCAAGTCAAGTCTCTTACTTATACCCTACTAACTAATAAACCTTGTTTAATAACAAGCCTTTTTATATTATTCCATTTGTTTGCTTTTTATCATAATTTTTTTTTATTAGCATTTTATTTTTATTCTTTAAGTTAATTCAATTTATATATAAATTCATTAAAAGAAAAATCAAAAAAAAAAATGACAACTACATCTCCATCTCCAACAAAACAACAAACTCAACAAGATACTACTCCTGTCTTAGACGAAGATCGTGTCAACACTGTTGGTTGGTTCTTTATTCAATCCTATTATGATTTCTTCGTTAATACCATTGACAATATTCACAAGATTTATCACCCCCAAGCTTCTGTCACTCACGATTCATTCCCATCAGAAAACGATTCTCCAACTGTCCAAAAAGCAAAGGGTGTAGAAGCTATTAAGGCTCGCTTTAGTTCCGATGAAAATTTAAAGAAAACTAATAGAATTGTAATTACAAATGCTAGCTTTCAAGCAAGTTTAAACAAAAACATCTTGATTGTTGCATTTGGTGAATGGTCTCAAGGTGATTCTTCTTATCATCAATTTACCCAAACTTTCCTTTTAACTCCAGGTGCCAAGGAAAACACTTTTGATGTTGCCAATGATATTTTGAAGTTTGTTGCCTCTAATGGCTTTAAAGAACAAGCTCCTTCAGAACCCAAGGCCGCTCCAGTCACCGAAGAACCAGCCTCAGTTGTGACCACATCAGCCTCGGGTGATGAGGAAAGTTCAAAGGTAAATACTGATTCAATTCAACTGGCTCCAACTGTCACTGATGAAAGTGCCGTATCGGAAGTTGCTCCTTCTACTGCAGAAGCAACACCACTGACTTCAGTCGAAATTGATGCTTCCGCTGACGAGACCGCTCCAACTAGCGACGACAAAGATTCTAAAGCAGATCAAGCTACAGATGAGGATAAAGCCAAGGCACAAGAAGAAGCTCAAGAAGAATCCCAAGTCGAGACTGAACAACTTGTTGAAGATACGGAGCCAGAAAAAGAAAAGGAACCAGCTCCTGCAAAGGCCAAATCTCCATCTGTTCCCCAACAACCAATGTCTTGGGCTGATTTAGCTTCACAAGCGGCAGCCCAAGCAACTAAGTCAAAAGTCTCACCTGTGGCCAAAGCTATCCCAGTTAAGAAGGCAAATGTTGCTGTTTCTCCATCCGGGTCAACTAGTGGCACCAATGGTAAATTCAAGAAAGAAGACTGGTTCCCTATATATATTCGTGGAATTAGACAACTTGATGAAAAGAATTTGAAGGAACATTTGTCAAAACATTTTGGGGACCTTAAGTTCTTTAAAGTAAATCTGAATATCGCTTTATGTGATTTTGTCCATCAAGAAGCTCAAAAGAAAGCACTTGAAGCCAAGGAAACTACCCTTGACGGCGTAACTTTCCAATTGGAACCAAGAGAATCTAAAACCGGGAACAACTATCACAATACAGGTGCAAAGAAGTTTCAAGGTAAAGATGCAAGAAAGGATATAACTGATGTAAAACGTAACCGGACTGACAAGAAGGTTAATGGGTCTAAAAAAATTAAGAATGAAAGTAAATAGGGTATATAGAGGACTACATTAAAAACATTATAACAATTACATACATAATTCTATTCAACATAATTCTATTTAAACAAACATTATAACAATTACACACGTAATTCTATTTGATAAGAAAATTACCATTTTGCATAATTTAATCAAGCAAAATGGTAATTGGACGTACACTACCGATTGCACTGAATTTGTTTTAATTCTGCAACCTAATCTGCCATCCCAGATTTCATCTAAAGAAAGAAGGCATATTTATGGATGTCCTCTATTTGGCTCTCTAGACTAACACTTTCAGAACGATATCAAAAACTCATCCAGTTGTTGGACTATAAAGTTGATGAACTCTCTCGCTACCATATGTAATCAATTTTTGAGACATGCACGATAATTTTTTTTATGAATGCCGAAATAATTTATAAATAGTTACATCACACTTTGTTTAATTTGAAGTAAATTCATTTATTTCATCCCGGAAGAGACTATATTGTATCCCAATGGATTTCTTACGTAGAAGGAAAGGATCCCCCAGAGACAATGATGATTATAATGATGACGATGATGTCGCATCAACATCCAATGTTCATAAATCAAGAAAACCACCAAACACAGCCTTCAGACAACAACGACTCAAGGCATGGCAGCCAATACTAACCCCGAAGTCTGTTATCCCCTTGTTGATTTTACTTGCAGTTATCTTTACACCCTTGGGAATTGCCATAATATACACCACCTACAATGTGCAAGAACTAACTGTTGATTATTCAAATTGTCATCTGGCAAGTGGAGATTTTGAAAGTATCCCATCATCATATGTTGGTTATCATTTTAAACATAAAAATGTCAATCCTGATTTTAAATGGAAAATACAGAATGAGACAAGCAATGATGAATTAGTTCAAACATGTGTCATTCAATTTAATTTACCAAGAGATTTAGATCCACCATTATTTTTATATTATAGATTGACCAATTTCTTCCAGAATCATCGTAAATATGTCGATTCTTACGATTTGGAACAATTAAGTGGGCATGCAGTAAAAGATAAGGATGTGACTGATACATGTGAGCCACTCAAGCACAGAAGAATTGGAAATAGTGACAAATTAATTTATCCATGTGGATTAATTGCAAATTCATATTTTAATGATACCATATCTTCTCCAGTACTTTTAAATACCAAAAGTGGTGAAGATAATCAAACATACATGTTTACTGACAAGGATATATCTTGGCCATCTGATCGTCAACATAAATTTAAAATGACCACATATAATCCTGATGATATTGTTCCACCACCAAATTGGGATAAAATGTTTCCAAATGGTTATACAAAAGAAAACTTACCAAATTTAAATGAATGGGAACATTTACAGAATTGGATGAGAACGGCTGCTTTACCATCTTTTTTCAAATTATATGGTAAGAATACTACTGAAGTCATGACATCAGGAACTTATCAAATTTCTATTGAATTAAATTACCCAGTAACTATATTTGGAGGTACCAAAAGTATTGTAATATCAACCAATAGTATTTTCGGTGGTAGAAATATGAGTTTAGGTATTATCTATATAATTATTGCTATTGTTTGTTTGGTGTTAGGAGTTGGGTTTTTATTACAATATTTAATTAAACCAAGAAAACTTGGAGAACATAATTATTTACAAGATTCAAATAATATGGGAAATCAAGAAGCAGCCAATTTCAGAGAACAACTTTAATAAATTTACTCTATAATTATAAAAAATTGTATAGATGTTTTTAATCACACACATTGTTAATTGGGAGTCATTCATACAACTAATTAGTTTGTTAATTAATTACCAGTTCGTAGAATAATTTTGGTAAAAGTGCACGCCCACAACCATTTTCAAATCTAGAAGCCATAAAAAAATTCTCTCTTCAACGCAACGAAAGGAGGTTTTCAATATTTGATATTGTAAGTCAAATAAACAATCAAAACACCTATCTTTATTTCATTTGTTATAGCATTTACTCATAATTTTAAGGGAGGATATATTGATTTATTTGTGAGTCCTGTACCTACTTTTACAAGCACCAAGTTTTTCGATACGAATAAGAACATAAGAAGATGAATGTCAATCCACATCTCCAATATTTACAGCTGCACCAGTTGCAACAACAGGGACAACAGCAAATTAACCCTAGTAACCAATCTCCACAGATATCGCTGTTACAGTTGCAACAACATCAACTTCAACGACAACAGTTACTTAATCAACACTTGCAACAACAGCAACAACAACAGCAGCAGCAGCAGCAGCAGCAGCAGCAGCAGCAACAACAACAGGTACAACAGCAACAACAACAGGTACAACAGCAACAACAATTGGGAACACCAAACGCACAACAGCTCACTAGCAATTTGTTACTTGCCGCTTTGAATGGAGGAGGAGGAAGTTCTATTGGTGGGGCAAATGCTCAAGTAAATGGAGGGGTGCTTCCAAATGGAATGGGCACGTCGACAATCAATCCTTTATTACAAGCCCAGTTACAACAGCTTCAACAACAACAACAACAGCAACAACAGCAGCAACAGCAACAAGCACAATCTCTTCAATTCCAGTTACAATCTCAACAACCACAACATATTCAACTGCAAGATCAACCAGGAGTGATACAACTGCAGAATTCTCCTGTTCCTATAATTAAAGAAGTCTGGGCCCAGAATTTGGAACATGAATTCCAAACATTGAGAACATTCATTAATGATAAAACTTCAAAGGTATTTATAGCGATTCATCAAGAAATACCTGGTATTGTTGCAAGACCAGTTGGAACATTTAAATCATCGTCAGATTATCATTTCCAAACTTTGAGATCGAATTCGGATTTACTTAGCTTAATTCAATTAAGTTTCTGTATTACGAAATTTAAAAATAATGAAATTAGTAATAGCGCAATTTGGCAATTTAATTTCTTGTATGATTTGACTAAAGAAATGTACAATGAAGAACATTTGGCAATGTTAGCACAGACTTCACAAATTAATTTTCAAATGCACATGACACAAGGAATTTCCCATCTTAATTTCGCCGAGTTGATGATTGAAAGTGGATTACTTTTAGATAACCAGATCAATTGGATATCATACCATGCAGGATATGACTTGGGTTTCTTTGTTAGTTTATTAATGAATGATAGTTTACCTGTTGATGAAAAGGATTTCTACTGGTGGTGCAACAAATATTTCCCTAACTTTTATGACTTGAAATATATGGGTAATCAATTACTAAATAAAGCAGGCAATGAGGAAGGCAATAAATCAACGTCAAACAATAAACCGTCAATTGAATATTTGGCAGAGGAGTTACACTTGTTGCCAATCTCACCTATCATACGTCAACATTTCGCTATGGCATCTCATTTTGCTGGGCACCAACAACAATTGACGTCAACATTACATGCATATTTGTCAATGGAATGTTTCAAAGAGCTTTTACGGCAATCATCTTTTGATCTTTCTGTGTTGGAAAGATTCAAGGGTTTCATATGGGGCTTAGGCAGTTTAGGAGGAGATCCAATTTCGAACATAGACGACCTTCGTGTGAATGGAGGGATTCCTGCTCCACCCACACCAGTAGCCAGTACTAAAAGTGGGCTCGTACATTTTGGAAGAAATGCTTGATATTATACAAATTTGAGTATTTTATAAAGGTATGCTGAGAGTTGTTTGATTTCTTAACGGTTGATATGAGAAGTTCTCTTTAGATTCCGTATGTAATCTGTAATGTACATTAAATATTTGATTCATTAACCTATATGTGTATCTATAAAAATCACGTTAGAGAAAAAATCGTTTATTCAGTATTACTTTCTTCCTCTTTAGTTTCTTCCTGTTCAGTTGTCTTTGCGATTTTCTTATTCTTGTCTTCTCTTTGCTCTTCTCTCTCGCTTCTCTTTCTCTTGTAACTAGCCTTCTTGTCCTCACCAGTACGTTCTTCTTCGTCCTTTGGAGGTGGAACAAACCAAGGAATCTTTCCTCGATTAAAATCATTCAATATTTGTTTAGAAACACCACCTTCATCTGGTTCACCACCTTTGATTAATCTTCCATGCTTTCTTGCAATCAATTCTATAAACTCAGTACTTGCTTGTTCCAATAATTCAGGATTTTCTTCAAATTTAGCCCAGCCCTTAATTTCATATGTACGTTCAAGATGTTTTCTTTCACATTTTTGTAACATTATAGGTATATATTGTTCAGGATGAGAAACATGTTCTACTCTTACTACACCCCTAAACAAAATATCAGCTTCTGTATCTTTTGAGGATGGAGGAACAATACCAGGACAATCAATTAAAAAAATACGTTTCATCAAGGTAATATATTGCCAAACCTTGGTTTCTCCAGGAATTGGAGCAACTGTACATACCTTCTTACGACGTAAAGTATTTATAATAGATGACTTTCCTGTATTTGGATATCCGATAAAACCGACAGATATTTGTTTACGGTCAGAATGCAATGTAGAAAATTGACGTAACAATTGAATCAAGGAACCTTTACCAAACGAGTTTGTAATGGATGCATGGAAAGCTAAAGTAGGAAATGATTTGGATAAATGTTTGACCCAAGCAGCCTAAAAATGTTAGTATAAAAATCTTATAACCCAAATTGAACGGTTGTTGTAAAATATGCAAGATGGAAATGGTAAGAAAAGTGGAGGGCTCAAAAATGAAAAAGAATGTCGGCTTCTATACTACGAAAGAAATCATGATAAAGAACGAATCTTTAGATCAATTTCAACTCAAAAAGATTCCGAGACTTCTCTAGGGGCGAAGCAAATAAAAACTATCTGCTTCTAAGGTGTGAACTACATCAACAACCAAAACGGCTATTGATCCAATAGGGAAAAGAATTTCCTTTATTGGGAACACAAGGCGAGAAGTATTGTTCTTCCAAAGACGTAACAGGCAATAAAGTGGATAGAATGCTCTTCAAAATTGAAAGAACTGCAATATCACCCTGACTAAATGCTTTGGTGCACCATCCACTTTGCATATTCAACAAAACCAAAAAAAAAATTATTAATACATACCGCAACCCAAGTTGGAACTAAATCACACTTATTCAACACATAAATCAAATGCTTATGAGCACATTCATCTTTAATATACTTTTCAACAGATTCACATCTTGTACCTAAAGGATCTCTAGCATCGAGGACATGTATCACCACATCGGAGGAATCAATAACTTTATATAACTCATTCCAAATACGTTTAGATTGACCTTTATGGAAAATAGCCTCTTTAGCTTCTTGAGTAAAATCATCCTTATCCAAGATCGAACCACCCATCAATCCTAATGTGGAATTTAACTCTTCATTTTCTTGGTATGCCACAGAATCAGATTCAGCAGTAGAAGCTAAATCTTCCAAGCTTGATGCAGCAACTCTTGGTTTTTTTCTTTGTTGTTTTGGACCAAAAGTCAGTGAAAAAGATTCTGTTTCGACTATTTTAGCAGTAGGAGATTCAGTTTGGTCTTTTTCTTCCAAAAGAGACATTGGCAACTTATTTCTTCTAAGTAAAACTTGATATGAATCATTCTTCTTTTCTCCCATGGCTTCTCTAAAATGGGTTAATGAATCTTGGGCAATAACTCTTGTATTACCAAACCATTTTCTGTTTGGATCAACTCTTGCAGTAGGAGCATCTGTGCTTTGTAAAGCGGCTGCTCTTATTATATCACCTTTAGCATTTCGTATGGCTCTACCTTGCTTATACATGTTTAAATGTTTAACTTTTTTGGCATCTCTATAAAAGTTTTCACCTTTAACACGAAGGTTCCCATCACGAACATCATTTTCTCTTATTCTTCTTTGTTTTTCTTTCTTCTGAGTACCCATTGTTATCTATTATTATTATTAATCTTTAAGTATATAAATCTATTAAAAAAATTCTAAGGAAGAAGAAGAAGAAAGAAAAGTAAGTATTTGAAAAATGAAAAAAAAAAAAAATTTTAAACTGAGTGATGAGCGATGCGAGTTTCTCTTCGTAATTTTTTCTGTTAATAATAAATCTAAACTGTAAAATAATATGGAAAAAGAAATATTATATAAATGCATGTTATTAACATGCAAATGAACCTATTTACAGTTTTCTACATCAATTATGAACCTGGTTGGTTGATCCTTGATCCCCATAGAGAATGCTTTGTATTGACAACAGCGATCACCACTTTATAGAATCAATTTGTTCTCTTAAAAGAAAAGGCTATATTCTAAAATTGAGTATGAAGAATATAAAGTTAAATACTACAACTTGTATTCCATTGTTGTTCCCTCGATGATCCCGTACACTTTGATAGATTTGACTGTGACATACGTTCTATACCATATAGTTGGTTTGAAAGTACTTACGTAGTATTTTACAGTATAACTCTTTCTCAGTTGCTAATTCGAAATAGCAAAATTGCGAAATTTATTTTGGTTGCAAAGTCAATGTGTATGATGACATAAATAAATACTCAGCCATTAAAACTTTCACAAGAAAAAAAAACAATTACGGCAACAAGAGAGATCCCTTTTCAATTAATTACACATACAATTTAAATTAATGACATATCTCTCTTTCTCTGTTGCTAAAAATTATTTGTTGCTAAAAAAAAAATGTGAAATTTCATTAAATTTAAATTAACTAATCATTCTTCCTTTTTCCATTAAACAATTAAAAGTATAGACCTATAGAGACTATGACACAAGAGGATCATATATCAAAAGATGGTTCATCTGAAGACGCAAGCTTTTTGAACCAATTGACTCCAACACAGGAACATTTCTTAAAGAAATATCTCCTTGAAAATAGATTGGTTGAAGAATTACACACATTCTCAGATCCTTTAGCATGTCAATTATTAGGGAAACCCTTCAAAACCAACTTACCCAAAAATGGACTTAGTGAATTGCCATTATTATCCTTCTTCTTTCAAAATTTCCTTGTTTCATTCCCATTTATAACCAATAATTCAGAAAAGAATCAAGAAAAGTTCTGGCAAGGCACTTTACAGCCCTTCATCGAAAGCCTTAATCTGAAACCATTAAGTAATTCAGAAGAGAGACAGGAGAATATAACCAAAAGGAGGCAGATCAATAAAAAATTCTTGTCACTATTATTATTATTTTATAATTCCACCTTGATAACCAAACAAGAACTAACCTATTTAAATGAAAGTCATTATAAACCATCAGATACTGGGAAATTAGATAAATTCCAAAATCGGTTACAAGATTGCAGTTGGAGGTATGGTTTAGAAGATTATAATTCAATGAAATTTCTAAATGATATTAGTATCAATATAATAGCAGTCAGGACCATCAAAGATAAATTGCCGACAGAAGCACCTTCTCAGTCATGGACAAGATATTTGTTTTCTTCCGAAGATGCACCTCCGAGACATCACTATGAATTTGTGATTCAGATAGTGACTCGTGAAAAAGAGGACGCATCTTATTCTTATGAATCCCTGTTTATATCACGTCATTACAAGGAATTTAAAGGTTTGGATGCCGCTCTTAAGAAAGCTTTCCCCGGAATCATGTCAGGAGAAGTTTCAAATCTACCCCGTAAAGAAAAAAATGATTTAGGCTATAATGTAACCTCAAGAAGCGGTTCTATTGATTCCACATTTGAAGTTGAAGATGAAGATGAAGATGAATCCAATGGTTCCCTTGCTCGTGAAAAATTAAGAGTGGCATTGAGAGGGTATTTGCGGTCTGTTACAAAGATTCCAGCTCTAGCTCATTCAATTATCGTTCAAGACTTTCTTTTAAATAAAGAGCATCTGTTTAGTAAATTAACGACAGAAGACTTGAAGGATTATAATTTAAGAATGGATCATGAAGAAACGATGCTCAAAACAAGATATGAATTCCAACAACAAACTACTAAGGTTATGGCTCAGTTTGCCAAAGATTTCGAAGACTTTACCCAGAATCTTATCATGAACCCGAAAACTATATCTGAACTATTTGAAGACCTTGGGAAAACTTCCGACATAAATAAACTATCCCCACTTTTCAGAACATTTAATGAGTGGTGCAAATTAGAAATTGCTGCTACCCTATATGAGACATTTTTATCACAGGATAATTCGAATGAATGGTTTAATAAATGTAAAAAATTTCATCGTTTGTTTCCATACTCCATAGTTTATGGAATTCTCAGGTTTACAAACCCAGTAAATATTGTCTCCAAGGTGATTGATTTGTTGTTAATTAATATTCCTAGGTTCCTGTGGCCATCTTGGGGTGGCAAACCAGAAGAAGAAAAGCAAAATGGGACAAAGAAACCTGGTGCTCGAAACTTACTTTCTTTAATTTTCATAATGCTTTTAGGGGAAGATTTGAGTACTTATGAGAAAGAGCTTAAAAACTTACGACAGGAAAAATTGGGTCCCGGATATAGTTTATTCTTGAAGAGACTTGAGAATTATACAAATTTAACCTATGTGGAAATTAACCTAATTAAGGATGAAGCGATGGAAAAATCCCAAGATTTACTATTGACTATTTTATCAACCGATTTGTTGGAGCCAAAGGTTACCGAAAGGGAAGATAGATTTATATTGAAGGAAGCATTTCGATCACATGATAAATATGTCAAAATTGTCGAGGATAAAGATTTGGATTCTGCCGAGCTCTATCTAAATCTTAAACAATACTGGCAAATTCTTGTTCGTAAGAAAGACAAAGATGTAATGAAACAATTATGGGAGGAGCCAGAGCTTACCAATTTGATTAAAGATGTCCTTTCAATTTTCTATCAACCATTGATGAAATTGTTCGCGAAAAGTGATGTTCATATTGTATTTAGGGCATTTCAGAAGTTTGCTGATGATCTTGTGGCTACTTTAACTAAAATCAATAATGAAGAAATCTATTATTTGAACTCCATGGAAATCTACACCAAATTGAAACAACTATTGGACAACCATGAGAAGATTATCTGGGAATTTATACATAATATCTATATTAAGGACGACCAAAAATTATTTTTGAAATTGATTAATTGGATAGAAAAGTTTTTGGCTATGCTTAGATTAAAGTTTGCGGATGAAGAATTGGTTAAGATGCAACTCTCTACAAATGGATTAGTGATTGACGAAGAATTAGCACTTCGACAATTGGATGCTAGAGTTGCACTAGTTGTGCAAAGAAGAAGACTTTTTAAAGAATACTTACTGGCAAAATCGAGCAATATTCAGACTGCTGAAGACATGCTTGTTAAAGAATGGGATAATATCAACGAGCAGGCTCTTGGAAATGCAAGCAGTGGTGATTTTGGACTTCATCTGGAAGATTTGGAGGAATTCAATAATTTGAATTGTGAAGGAGAATTGGAGACCAACACGAAGCAAAGCGACCTTGAAAAATTGTTATCGACAAAATTACGTGAACTTGAATTGGTGAGCAAGACTGTGGGAACGAGTGAGTTGGATAAATTAGATCCATTTGTCAAGGCCGAATTGACTAGAGTGTTGGGAGGGATTCATATAGAGTAAATCTGTATAGTTTTATAACGTCTTAGTAATGAAAGTATTCTTTTTGATCCTTATTGTGCACCAACAACCTGTATTATGACAGATATTTCAACTTATTTTTGATGAACAAGTAGATCAAACAAGTTCCTTTATATGAAGACACCGTTTTAGTTTTATAAACAAAGATCAGCACTTCTACAAATTCTTGAAGCTATTTGAACCCTTGGTGTAAAGTCTTGGGGTAGCTGAGAAGAAACTCTACGCACCAAAACTGAAATTTTGCAACCGTTCAATTGCCAATGAAACCAAGCCTAAACACTTGTTATATTCCAACCATTGTATTGTAACAGTACATGCCTTATTTGAAAGATCTATTCATGATACATTACTTCACGAACTTTTCCTTCTAGAAGGGCCCTCTCCTTACCCTGAAACTCAAAGCAGAAAAAATTGGTTCCTATCTAAAGAAAATTAAGCTTGGAGACTACGCCTTAGTGATAGCAAGCTCTTTGAACTGATATCTACAAATACTTCGTGTTTCTAAAGATTCTAAATGCAAAAAAAATTAATTGGACGAGACAGGAATCGAACCAGTGACCTTTTGCTTGCAAGGCAAACGCGCTACCAACTACGCCACACGCCCATTTTTTTTTTCTTTGTAACGGAGTGGAAATATATTCAGTACTATTTACACTACGCTACCGAAATATGTTGCAACTTAAGAAAAAGCTGGTTTTTTTAGTGAGTATGCCTATTTTAGGAGATTCTCACACGAGACTGTGTCTTCTGACATAGTTAGCCTATAAAAGGTTTTTTGAACCACTTAGAGTTATAAGTATGAATCCCTCCTTACATTGTCCAGGAGGCGCATATATTTCTATATAGATTCTTCTCGTTTTTATATAGTCTAATATATATGATTCTAAGAAAAAAAAATAATATATATGATTTTAAGAAAAAAAAAAAACCTAAAAAAAAATGAAAAAAAGGAAGTTGTGAACTGGTTGTCTTTTGGCAGTATGATATTATGACGGTTGTTCTTCTGTAAGTTCATAGTTTATAGATAAAATATTAGTTACTTCTAAATGTTCCGCAATAATTCATACTCGAGGGGAATCCGGGCTATTTATATTCTCGCATGGAATCACATCCTGCACATAAACACTGCCGACCTCTTATTTTTCTAGTCCACTGAATCTCATGCTACCGGCATATTGGTGTGATATCAACCCACAACACTCTCCCCCCCTCCAAACTCAGTGTCCCCACTGAGCCGACGAAACGACAGCAGCAAGGTTAAGCGAGGAGTTGAGGAAAATAGCCAACATGTGATGGAAAGATTCGGTCTCAAAATAATCAACTAGCTAGGAATCAAATTTTGCAACCAAATCAGCATTGAGCAAGAATAAACCAGACATCACAAGTAGCTAATTCGTAATGAATGACAATCTTTGGAACCTATGAAAAAACAGTGTGGACATGGACCACGGTAGTATAGTTTGCACCCTCCTATAACTACGGCTGCCAAGTGATGCTTTACGACTTATGCACCTTTCCTGGATGACGAAGACTTCGATTAACAAAAACACTGTTCACACTCTCGTGGAGGTGAACGTCCTGCACATTTGGAGGACAAAGACGGCTGCTACTGGCCTAAAACAAACACAATCGAACTAAAGCAAGGGTATGCTCGCTGAGCAAAGAATCCTGTCACCAGATTCGAAGGGCCAACCAACCCCGCTCGAGGCAAATGTCTTATCATCCAGCACCATATCCCAAACCAACCAAGATTCCCTGAAGCCAAGGAAAGTAGACACAACTCTCTTGATGACAGTTGCCCATCACCAAGACATATTTATTTACTACTTCCCCATAGTGACACACAAAACAAATAACAATATAATAATAATCTCAAAATAAAACAAAACAAAATGTAAAAAGGTATAAACCAAGGTATCTGAAACCTAATAATAAAATCAAATAAATTCTGAATACAATAGTATAATCAAATATCCCATGTTATCTCAATAAAATGACCTCGATAACTCTCAATAAAATGACTTATAACTCTCAATAAAATGACTTATAACTCTCAATAAAATGACTTATAACTCTCAATAAAATGACTTATAACTCTCAATAAAATGACTTATAACTCTCAATAAAATGACTTATAACTCTCAATAATATAATCAAATATCATAGCTTGCTTTAATTAAATAACTCTGATAACTTTTAGTAATATAATCAATATCATATAATAAGCCAGTAAAATAACTCTTGATAACTTTCAGTAATAAATCCAATGTCAATCTGTTAATAACTGTAGTATCTGTAATTGGTTTCCTATAATGATGCAAATAATAAAGTGGAAAATACTAATGTAATGATATACTTTCAATAATAATATGACAAAATAATATCAACATGATAATTCAATGATTGCAGCAAGGACAATAGTAACAATAAGTCTCAACAAAAGTTTTCAATTTGACTAAGATAATTCTAATGATGTGATACTGAACAAATTTCTCAAAAATAATTTCAGTTACAAGCAAGTTTGATTTAACACAAATAAGTTTCTATAGTTTAAAATTCAATAACACAATAATGAGAACAAATGAAATGACAAATGAATTAAATAAATCACTAATCGAATGCAATATGAAATGAATTTGTACTAATGACTCAATAAAGATAGGGAAAACTCCATAATGTAATTGTAAGCCAACTTGAATACCGACTTTCAAAGAGAATTGGTGAACAAAGTTTGAATATTGTACTAATTATTTCGGGAAATAAGGATAATATAATGATAATCAATTAATTGTAGTCCATATAATTGCTAACAATAGTAGATTGTTCAAAACTTCAATAAATAAATAATCAGAAACTAAAACAATTGGACCTAATAATAATACTCAATGTCTAAAGTGTAATTAAGGTGAATGTAAATCCTGATGCGATAAACAATTTGAAATTCTTGACTTCTTCTGAAAGCTAAATTGTAAACTAAAGTAATAACCAAAAATGTAACAACGTCAAAATCTAATCAAAGATGAACATATTGAATTTCAATTTATGGTAATGAATAATAAATAAAACTTGAGGTAGAATCAATAACCAATAAAACTTTCAATTAAACTTTCAATTAATGACTTCATGAAATAATAAACAAATCTAACTTCATTTCTAATAAGATAATTCACTTCTTGGGAGTTCTGAAAGCTGTAAAAAAAAAACATGATTATAATATCATTGATGCATAGGTACTGAACAAATGGTAATCAAAATAATCATTGCTGATTAATATAGTCTTCTAATACTAGATGAGTTTCCATTGGGTAAATTAAGCTGAATAATGAATCAACCATTCGAAATTTAAATGTAATGTAAATGAACAGCAAACCCATGAATAATAACCAATAATCAATAATCAATAATGAATCGTAAAATAATCAATAAGTAATAGGGAATAATCAATAATGAAATAATTAATAATCAATAATGAAGCATGAAATAATCAAGAAGTAATAATCAATAATGAAATAATCAATAATAAATTAATCAATAATAAATTTATCAATAGGCAATCAGCAATAAGCAAGTAATCAGTAATCACAAAGCAAAAATCAATAATCAATAAGTAATAATGAAATAATCAATAAACGGTAATCAATGATGAAATGATCAATAATCAATGATGGCATAATCAATAAGCAATAAGTAATAAGCAATGAGCAATAAGAAATAGTGAGTAGTCAATGATAAATAATAATTACGCAATCATCAATAATAAATCATGCACTAACCAATAATCAAAAATGGATAATAATAGGGAGTAATCAATGTTCAGTAATGCATGGATCACTAAAACTTTCTTCTGAGCTTCAATAATTCTTAATAAGAGTTCCAATAAATAGTAATATGCTAACTCTTGAAGTAATAGATTTCAGCAATATAAATAAAATAAAATGAGTTCTGCGAATTCAAATCCATCAATAACTTAATCAAACTGTACATTTCTTTATGAGTCTTCCAAATGTTTTGTCGATGTGGCCAATAATAAAATATGCATCAATAAATTTGAAAGAAAATGTAAATGAATAACTAACTCTTCAATGAGAATGCAAACGTCAACAGTAATTCGTAATACAATAGTATATTCACTTTCTTCTTCAATTAATAGTTGCAAACAATAAGTAATTTCATCTGAAAAAAAATTTGTATGTGAGTTCACCGGGTAGCTCTTCCGATTTGTATGTACCACGGTAAGTCTGAATAATTCTTCAATCTAATGGATGTAATTTGAACTAATTCATAAAGGTAATCCAATTAAAAGAACAATTTCTTCTGGTAATAATGATAATGTTTCATCTATAGTTGTAAAATGTCAGATTCAATGTCAATTAAAATAATGATTCAACTTCAATTAAAAAAAATGTACCAAATTCTGAACATTCACATAAGTTTAGTAATACTGACTCAATGAAGACAATGTGGAAACAACCAATAACAAGAAGAGAATAAGTACCAATCGGAAAATGCCATGATGTATACTAATGATAACTCAATGAAGATTAATGAAACACAATAAAGATAACATGAAAATAACCAATAAGAATAATATGATAACTGCAATGAGATAACTGCAATGAAAATGATATGGAAATAATACATGAGAACAAGATGATAGGTACCAATGAAAATAAGCTTGGAATGAACTTCAAATGAAAAATGATAATGTTTCAAACAATGGAGATAACACAGACAAACAATAATACTTCAAAAATTTCTTATCTGGGTCAAATGTCACTAATAGTTGTAGATGATCTGAAACAATATGTAGTTGGAACAATGTGAAACAATTTATAATGTAGTGGTCGAACTATTTGAGCAAATTGAGATATAAATTCATAGATACAGAACAAATTCAAAAAAACTTCTAATTCCTCTTGATGTTGATGGTGATGGACATATATGAATATTGTTTGACATTCCCATTCTTTTGCACTGCTTAT